AGAGGCTAAGGAATTCTGTATTTCCTGTCGTGCCTTGGCAATCTGACTGGCCAGGGTTCCTAGGGCTGAACCTCCCTGGGATACAGAGGAAACCATTAGAAAAAAAAGCCATGTTGAGAAATGTGCATTCATCAATATTGTGAATGTCTGGGATATTATGTGTACTGCACTACTGTATCAAAATTTTAAAACACTTTATAACCAATGAACTGCCTGGCAACATCAAACCTAGCATCAGAATAGTCTTTAGAACTAGTTTACGTCACAATGCCATTGTTACTGTATCTAAAAAGATGGGATAGATACCTATAACATACCAGATGTTTAGATAACAATCAACTGACATCTTAGTGACCATAGTCCACACCAGTACTACTTGTTCAGAAGGATCCACTACCTCCTAACAAAAACTCTAATAACAAATTTCAAGTATGAAGTAAACAAAAGATTTACTCAAGACTTGAGGATACCATAAAGAATAAGCTAAAAATAGCCAAACATCTATTCATCAAAATAATTCCTTTGCAAAAATTCTGGGTCATTACCAGCCAAAAGTTAATAGAAGAGGACAGATCTGCATAATTCTAAAATAAAAAGTTAGTTGGTTAGTTTCAGTATCCATACTGGAGAAGAACACTTGCAATGCCATTCATATTCAAAAACATGGCTTAAATCTTGAAGTCATAGGATTACATGGCACCTCAAACACTTAGTACTTATAATGCACACTAACACACTCAAGCATAATTTGTCATGTGGATATATTCATATATTTTTATAATACATAAAATATAAAATATCAAACATAAAAATATGTAATATATAATGCATTGCCTACAAGTTTTTGAGCCCTGTAAGCACAATAATCATTTAGAGGTAAATTCTATAAAGAAATCTGGCTAGTAAAAGTTACAGATGGCAAATCAATTGTAACAGCCGATAATGCTCATTTGACATTATTAACATAATATGCCAAATGAACACATGCAAATACATATCCAAAACTTTATCACTCCAAACAGGTAAAATTCAACAACTATTACTTTTTCTTAGTCTAAATGCCAAGCAACACCACCGAAATCATAACTTAACATCTGCATTTTTTAAAGGTAATTGTTATTAGTAAAACAAAAAACAAAAACAAAAACAAAAAAAAACAGGTTAACAGCCTATTGAAGTCCCCCCACCCACCCCCACTACCTCCTCTTGCTGCTCTATTTGGCTGCTCTTCAAGTTTTCAGACTTTTCAGAGACTTGAGAAACATCTGCAGAGGGTGCCTCTTCCATCTTGATACTTTCACACACCTGCTTTTGACTGTAGTTTGGCTAAACAGGATAAATGCAATATAAATGGTGGTGGGTATATTGTACAAAAGGAACAAAGCTTTCTCTTCTAAAAGCAATAAAAAGATTTTTAAAAACTGCACTCAATATACATATATTTTTCCTACAAAGCTGTTTTACTTATCTTTATGCCTTGATTTAGGCTCATATATTTTTTTTTTATGTATACAGTATCAAAAGTTAAAGATTCAATATCATGAACATACACAGACAGACAAATCCATCAAGAAATTATTCAATTGACTGGCTAGAATAGCAACAACATTGGTGGCACTCAGAAAACATGACATTTCTGTTATCTTAGTAATTAGGATTTTTTTTTTGCACTGATTACAATTTTACACCAGAAAATGGGGATACATAACAAAATAGCGATGACTGGACAATTTAGTGAAAGGGACATAGAACCATGTTTTTGGTGTCAACTGGGAAAAAAAAACAAGCTCAAACAAAAAAATACAAAATACTGCACACAACCACCACTATACAATACACAAGACATTTAAATATAACTCTGAAGACTTCCACTAGCATCTGCATTCACTAAACTTATCAAAAATGAATGAGTATACCACTCTTACTAATATACCTGTAAACAGTTGAAACCAACTATGTATGGGCCATACTTTAAAACTGTACCGCATTGAATTTATACTAATATTTAGCAAATGTTTTAAAATTGAAATATTTTGAGAAGATTGTACTATATGTCTTGGAATCTATCCTAACACTTATCACCTCACTTGGCAAAATGAGGAGATTAATTGGTATGTTAGGTGATGACCCAAGCTGAAAATGTCAACAAGCCTCATATTTAATGCCAGCTTCATGTTTTGAATCAGTTGGTAGTAGAGTTTATAGTCAAAGTCAGCAATTTTTGTTGTGTCCTGGCTAGCAGTGACACTGGCAGTCACTGGTGTTGCCTTGTTTTTTGAGTAGGGATTCAAGTCACTTCTGAGCACCATAGTGCAAGTTTTTTTTTTTTTTTTTTTTTTTTTTTTTTAAGTGCAGCCCCATATTACTTGACTAAGTCAATAAATAAAAATTCTATAGACAATCAAATTGCTTACCTTACAATTAGACCCTACAGGTCTCCCTATACAGGGCGGCCTTTGGCAACTGCGTCCAATAGCTGGCTACACACAAACAAAAGGAGCATAATTTTAAATTGTTTTATCTGCAGTGCTGTAATTTGTGAATACAGTACTTTTTGAGCAACTACATCAATGAAATAGACTACATTCTCTCCTAAGGAGCATTTCAGGAGTGATTATACATCTGTGTGTATCAACACAGTAGTTTTTATCTGGTTCACTTTTATTAGGCATATTTCTCTGACTAGTATATGGAAACCTGTAATATGAAAATAACTTCTCCTTTTATGCCTACAAACCTATTTAATTTTGCGATATCCCTCTTTTTTGCAAACACTTCCATTCAGCAGAGAGAGATACTATATTAGATCTGCTCTATCCAAATACCATCTGCAATTCAAAGACAAAAAATTTAATACTTGTAGCCCCATAAGAAACTTTTCTGCCAACACCAATAACATTTCAACCTATCCCACTCACCATGGACTTGTTCTCATAGAACTCGCGTTCTGCATCATCAACACGCCACTTGTCAAACCAGATGTTTTCTTGTGCCAGTTCTAGAGCCATTGTGGGGGATTTCTGAAATGATAGTGACAGAATAAGGTCAGTGGTTATTTTTTAGGGTGCTCTATAAAAAATAAAAAATAAAAAAAATAAATAAAAAAATAAATAAAAAATCACTTATCAGATAAGCCATTACAGTGGCGCTAAATGGTTAATGGTTAACCCACTAGCACCGGTATATTTTGAAGCCGAAAATAATAGTTTCTGGGTGGCATCAAAATCGGCACGCAGGGCTGGACCAGAATCTGTCTGCACGCCTGCCCCAGCCCGTAACAGAATCGGAACATAAGCTCCGATCCAACATCACACCAGCAGGACACCCAGCAAAATTTATTTTTCTGGTTGTCTCATAAGTAGGGCACTCATCGTAAATGGTTAATGGTTAACCCACTAGCACCGGTATATTTTGAAGCCGAAAATAATAGTTTCTGGGTGGCTTCAAAATCGGCACGCAGGGCTGGACCAGAATCTGTCTGCACGCCTGCCCCAGCCCGTAACAGAATCGGAGCATAAGCTCCGATCCAGCATCACACCAGCAGGACACCCAGCAAAATTTATTTTTCTGGTTGTCTCATAAGTAGGGCACTCATCGTAAATGGGTTAATGGTAGAAACAAATGAATGTGCTAGACATCTAAGGTCACATAGCATATAGTAAAGTAATGTGGTGAAATGGGTAAATAAGTTAACGGGTAGGATAAAGTGTTAAATGTCAGAGGTTATAGAGTGTTATAGGAGAGTATGATAGGCAAAAAGGGTAGAGATAGGTTGCAAATTAAGTAAATAGGAGATTCATAAAGGAGAGGGTTAAGAGCTATCATGAAATAATCAACAACTGTTGGCGAAGTAGCAGAAAAGACTGGGGGATGAGATAAGGGGACCTGTGAAGGAGGTTAAGTATCAAGAAGAGCATCAGGAGGGGAGGAATCCAGAGAACACTGCTGTGACAGAAGGGATTTACGAGTATCCAGGTGGGAGAGGTAAGGATAATCGTGACCAAGGAAATGGTGTACATGAAGAAGGAGAGGATAGGGTGTGTTGGGAAAGAGTAGGAGGAATAAGGGTAGGATGGATATCAGCAAATACTTTAAATGTAGAGGGACAGAGGGATTGGAAGGTGGATGAGGAAGCAGAATATATTTTTGCGTCATGTCTAGGAATTTTCTGGAGGGGTTTTGGGTAGGAATATCTCAGAAAAAAAGGATCTCTTGTGAGGAGAAGGGGCATAGATGTTCGAGGAGCATGGGAAAAAGTGTGTGTATGAGAGTTTGTGGAAGGCAATGATGGTGTTGAACGTTTACACTGTCTGGTGCAATGGGTAAAGTGTGTGTGGGGGGGGGGGGATAGGCATCGGAGAAGTGGTAGAGAATGGAGTATCTGGATTTAAAATGGAAAAGGGATTTGACTGGGGGAGAGGGAGAATAAAGGTAGGATAGTTCAGGGTACAGGGAAGAGATACTGTGGGAGATGCAGAAACATCTTGTAGAGATGGGGCGGGGAACAGAGCAAAGGACTATTTTGGAATAGGTGGAGAGAGAAACCTCGTCATCATAATTCTTGTCTTGCCTCACATAGAGTGAGGTCTAGTTTAAATCTGAGAACTGCTACCTCAAATTCCAGCTTGTAGGCAGGGTAGTTCCTATAAAATACGTTACGGGAGTCACCACAGTTGACACATGTATGTGACTGAGGACAATAATTTGAACAGTCATGACCAGGTTGGGCACACAGAGCAACAGGTCGTGGAGCGACAGGGAAGGGGATGATATACTCAGACATGGTAGGACAATCCACCAATATAAACTTCATAGGGGAGGTCATGTCTACAGATCAATCTAGGCAATAGTGACATGGGACTTACACTGGCCTCAGAGGAATAGTGTAGCACTGTACTGTAATCAGCAAGGCAGTTAAGTAGATCATTTTCACAGTCTGAACAGTTCTTGTTGCAGACAGGACAAGCAGTTGGAGGAATAGAACAGTTCCAGTACAAGTATTAACCCGTTGCCGCCAGGTGGCACATACGCACATGTCATGGCTGTTGTGGAGCGAACGCCAGGGGGCATCAAGTCATGCCCATTCCCGTGCCACTGGCTCATCGGACGGAGGTTGTTTTTCTCCGATAGTAGTGGCTTCATTTATCTGGTAAAGATTTTAGGCAATGGTACCTATAATGAAGGTAAACCTTCAAAATTTTAATATTTTTATAAATTTTAGCAAAATAAAAGCTTTCAGGTGCTAAATGTCGCTCGCAAACTACCGATCGAGCCAAGTGCAAACAGGCGAAACTGCCGATGCGTGCCAACTAGCCCATGCATACATCCACTTGCCAAAATCTTTACCCATCGGTGATGGGTTAAGAGAGGGCTGTGGTCCAGCAGAAATGGGTTTGCCATACGGTCAGTTACAGAAGATAGTGCAAGAGCTTGGGATTCAGACGTAACTGACCAGGCGTGAACAATCAGAGCAACTGCGAAATGTAAATTTGCCTGCTTGTTTTTGGAGAAGCTGTTGAAAGAGAAGGGTATTCTTAGAGTAGGGGGGTGTGGGGGGAATCAAAGAATCGATTCCATTTGGCTGGGCCAAAGATTACTCAAAAGGTTTGCAGAAATATAGGCAGTAGAAGGACAAGGATGAGAGGAAGATAGGGGTGGTGTGGAGTGGAGTAGTCCTGTAAGGGGGAGGATAAGGAAGAATAGTAGTTACAAGGGAAGGGGGTAGATGCTGAAGACTGCCATGGGAGATGGAGAGGAAAATGTTGGGTGAGTGGACGAGATGCATTCTGAAGGTTGAGTAATGACCTGAGTGGGTGGTTTCAAACAAATTAAGTTGTCAGTAAATGTCAAGGGGGGTATTAGTATCAGTGGTCGGAACTGTGGTCAAAGGAGGGGCAGGGATCAGAAAACCATCAAAATTGAATTCAGATTGACTAGTTCATGAAGGGGCAAGCCTTAATGCCTCTATTATGGGTAAAGAATCTTCATCATTGGCCATGGCAAGCCTGAATAAAATGGGGAAAAGAAACGGTCTACCCTTAAGGGTCCCCATAAGGGGTAAGGGCTTGGCAACGCGCCCAGCCTTTCATCCTTTCAGCACGTCTCTCACACCTTAGGAAGTGGACAGAAGGGGATAAAGAAGATACAGAAAAGGAAAGGGGGAGAAGACCAAAATTAGTTGAGGCAAGGACTGACGCCCAAGGCAATATTACTAAAATCAATATAGCCAATTGTTCCCTTTAAGATATTCACTTTAATAGCAGATAGCTATAGCATGCAGGGTACTGCACGCAATGCACAAAATTACATAAACAAAATTATCTGCTGTACATTCTTACATATGTGGATATAGGTTTGTAATGAATGTTAAATACTAATTTGTGCTACATGCATATAGCACTGACTCTGGGACTTTGAAGAGCAGAAGAGCATTTTAGAATAGTTAAGCTATGGACCCACTGCCAATTTAATGGCATGTACAAATAGGTCATGGCATAACTGGATTCCTTTGCATTATGTGAACAACCAAGCTACATTTGCTCAATACACTAGCTATAGAACTGTTACAATCTAATTTCCTAAAAATATACAGTAAGCTATAGCTAAAAAAAACCCTATGCTCAAGCAGCTAGACTGTGCACAATGCCCTACACATGGCTTGGAACAGTATTTGGTTTGGTTTGGCTGTTTGGTTTTCTCTCTTTTTCCCTCTCACCATCACTCTTTCCATATACATGGTTCTAACAAGTATTTAATCTACCTAGGAGATACTATATCAAGTTGTTTTTACATATTTTCCCTTTCCTAAATTTTTGGCAACTGGAAGGGGGTCCAGGGACAAAGCCCACTGCTCAGGAAATATTGATATCAGTTGGGAACTGGGAAGGTCTTTGGTTCAAATTGATCTTTGTAATGATCACTGGGGTAGTTTGTGCATTCAAGTTTGGGGTTTTATTGATGCTCATCGACAGTTTCCCGGCTGCACCCGGCTCATTCTGCAGTTTGCAGGCAACATTAGGCACCTAAAAGCATATGTTATATCTCTCAAAACATTTTTAAAAGTGTGGTTTACCATCATTTTATGTATTATTGCCTAAAAAAAAAATTTCACCATAGAAAGAATGCCACTATTATCGGACCAAAGCAATCTCCATCCTATAAGCCGATGGCACAGGAATGGTCGTGATGCAATGTCACCCATTTAATTGGTCCATTACAGCTGTGGCATGTATATACATCCAGTGACATGATGTTAATATCCTCAGTTAATCTGTATGGGCACACTAGGCTAGGATAAAACAATGATGATACTCGTGTAAAAGTTTCAGTTGTCAGTAAAAGAAATAACCTGCACCTATGAAGAGTAACAGCACAAAAAAGGAAAAAGATCCCCCCAAAAAATAAAAAAAATAAAAACATCCTACATGCAGTTGGTGCTCCTGAGTTTCAACTCTTACCATACATGTTGGGTGTTGGGGGGTAGAACACACCCATCAACCCAATAATGGCAACTTTAATACTGAAAAGTCAATGGCAACTTAAACTGTTGAAAAAAATTGTGACATGGAGTTGGGGACTTAGTCTTTGATGAGTTTGTCTAAGGATTAGATACTAAAATCCTAATAATCAAAATTATATGACTCTTTAAGACTAAAACAAATATTCTTTTTCCCGAAAACTTTTTGGGTAAAAGGTAAACCAGTAGACCTAGTAATTAACTCCTTAGTGACTAAATACCAGTGAAGCAATCAATGTATAGAGTAATAATACAAAGTAAATACATAAAACAAAATGAATGTACAGTGTGTTTCTAGTCCAATTAGACAAATGCATATAAAAACCAGAAACCCCCCAACTCCAAAAGACAATCATGGCTTCTACAAGCAGGTTTTACATGTACCCCCTTTTACCCAGGTATTGGCAAGCACTTTGGCAAGACAGACTGTAGTTAAGGTGAGCAGTTTATTTTAGCAAGCACCTCATGTTTATCCCACTTCCTTCAATGAATTAATTACTTATCATTTTTGCAATGACTATAAGAGTTATTAACATTTTCCTAGTATATCATAAATCATAAGTTTCTATTTCACACACATGCTTATATACATTATTAGCAATTTATAAACCTCTCAAAATACTAAAAATAGAACTGCAAATATAATCTGGAGACAAAAAAATTCCTGTACAAAAATCATCAACCCTTATATCACACTAAGATTTTTTTCTGTTATTCTTAAATTTACAACAAAGAAAAAAAGAAAAGAAAAAAATTTGTTCTCGCATGGCATTATTCAAGAATCTAAATTGTCATTAGGTGTGAGAGGAGAGTTGATGGGTGGACTGCCCCTCTACTTCCCCTGAAAAACATGGTCTTCACCTCTGCCTCCATGCCTAGATAGAACTGAAACTAGGGAGGACCAAGTACACTAAGGCTGAAAGTGGCACTTCCAGCAATATTTTCTCTATTTTTGGCCTTACTGTTTGTGTCTGCATTATTCTTGTACCAACAACTACAACTTTTTGTCCTCTACAAGAATATAATTTTCAGTTAGCCCTTGCTTAATGCATCCCTACATTAAGAATAACCAATTGCAGGAATGAATTTGTGCAGCCAGGCAAAGGGAGAATTCATGGGCTGAAAATTATTAGTCCAAGTTAATTGTGAGGTAAACCTGTTTAAGGGGACCTTCCCAGAAAATGGCCACCTTTCCCTACTCTTAACGTCATAAAAAGATATCAGTTATAGATATCTGATTGATTCTTTTTGCATGATATAGAGTATAGAATTGCGCTTCGTTTCATATATAATTTTAACCTGTTTTTTTTTTTTTTTTTTTTTTTTTTTTGGGGGGGGGGTCTACGGTACATCCCAACTATCACAGTTCTTTACTGAATATTCCCATAAAAATACTTGTGTTAGATCAACCCTAGCCTAAGGCCATGTAAATAGTCGATTTTTGAATTTCCTTTTTTTTTTTTTTTTTTGGCGGGGATAGCTTGACAGAGAACTTTTTTTTTTAGCATTAAAATATTTTTTGATTAAGGCAAAAATTAAAAAATTGGCTATTTACATGGCCTTGGGATGCCGAGGCTCTAGTGAAAGCAAAAAACTGCATTTGAATCACATTTAAATTACGGGAGTTGGGATGTACCGAAAATTTTAAAAAATAATAATAAAATAAGAGCTACGGCGTATTGTATTTGGCACCTTGCCAAAGTTCGTTGTCTGGTATTTTTCTCTGAATCTAATGATATTATATATCAAAAAAATGCTTATTTAGTGTACTTTGCAATGCAATGATTACCAAGTCAATAGGAATTTTCATTTTCAATAGGGACGCTATTCTGTAAAGGTATGGAATTTTTTTTTCATTCATTGTTCATAAAAGTAGATACTTTCGTCTGAAAAGTTTAATAAATGCATTTTACCATAGAGACCCCTAATCTAAATCAGATAACCTTTTTTTAAATTTATTATTATTATTTTTTTTTTTTTTTTTTTTTTTTTTTTTTTTTAAGAAATGGGGAACTGTGGATGGCAACATTAGTACAAAATCATCCTAATTATAAAGTCCTGGCATGAATACAACATGGTGGTTCAATTTTGAGAATTTTAAAAGCATATGAATTTAGTACACTGAATTCGAGAACTTATGAAAGTCGTTGAATTGAAAAACTGAAAAAAATCTCCTGTGATCTAGTCGGCTTTGGCAATCCCGTGATGTAATATTTCTGCTAAATATGTAAAAATAAAGGAGTTATGACTAAATCTCTGACCCCCCCCCACCTCCGGCTCCGACGTTTACTTTGTCACGTCCGAGCTAATATACTCGACAAATTAGTTTTTCTGGATTTTTTCAATTTACTTGGTAGACTCTGGTAGCTAGCTGGCAACTCTCTTCTGAATCAGCTGACATCCACAAGAGAGAGAGAGTGAGAGGCTGTGCTGCCTCGGCGTGACCTTGGACCCAGCACCATCCCACAGTCGCGTTAATACATACTGTGTGATTCGCTCTCATCACACACTAAGAGGACACTACTAATGATAGATGTTATTCCTGTAACTAATAAACAAAATATGATGATAAATCCATCTCAATCGCAGCTGCAGCAGTTGTTTATTTATATGAAATGCCTCAAGAGGCACTGCGAAGCCTGTGATGCCACAGGGTACTTCTAGAATCAAGTGCAGTTATTGCCATTGGTACCTTGCAAAAGGGGGGGACCAGGTACCAGCTACACTTCAGAATACTACATGAATACCATAGAAAACATCAAGATTGATGCAGAGATCAGAATTCTAAAAAAAATACGTGGAAAAGTATCCTCAACTTCAAAGCCCGATATCTCAAAACTACACCTTTGTTGACATTCTTTGTTGTTTCTTCATAACTACTCGGACGATTTTAATGGGGTTTGGATCATTTGAAAGCTGAATAAATTTGCGTTTTTCTCGAAGGTTTGTTATTCATTTCAGGGGATGAAAGTTGATTTATCATATTTTATATAGGTATCAATGAACATTTAAAAAAAATTTTTTTTACACTAGGAGGAAATTTCAAATTCTAATCATGTCTATTATAGGTATTGCTATAGACTATATGGGGTAATTTTTTAAACAGTTCAGTCAATGGATAAGTGAGATTTATAATTTTTCAAAAATTTCAAAAAACTTGATTTTTTTTTATAATTTCATTGTTTATTATCTAAATGATATGAAACTAGGTGGTGTAAATCGTAGTATATGTATATATAACAAAAAAATCGCAAAAATGCGAACATACTTAAAGTTCGTTCTTGGAAGCGACGGCCCCCTTAAGTACACTTAAGCTGTCCAGCTATCCAGGGAACAAGGGGAGCCCGAGGTTCAAATTAGCAAGCCCTGAGGTGTCCGTGTCATCAGGTCTCGGCATTGAATCATCAGATAGTGGCTGATGGTGTGGTGCGAGGACAAGGCTATAGGCCTGTATGACCCAACCTGTCAATTATGTGGAGTGGCAGGTTGCAAGGTCGTGCTGCTACAATTTCTGCAATTATTCCTTTATTTGTGGCATTACTAGGTGTCTGCAGATTATTTCTTGTACCAACAACTAATTTTGTGTCCTCTATAAGAATAATCTACAATTTGCCTGAACTTGGTGAGACCATACTGTAAAGATTAACTGATAACCCATCCATCCATACCAAAAAGGATTTCATGTCATGGATGGGTTCTCAAAGGGTAATTTCCTAGTTTCAGTCATTCAATCTTGCATTTCTCTTTCAATTATCAATACTGTAATATACATGAATCTTATTTTGAATTTCAAATTATATAAAAAAAAGTCTTGGTAATGTTTACAAAGTAACCTTACCCTCTTGAGACTGAATCCCTATTACTACAGCCCCATTACCAGGAAATCCACAAATGTCACTATAAGAACCAAAAACCTTCCTAACCCAGGGACTTTGTCCCCAGATCCCATCCAATCGCTGTATTTCCCTATAGAGGATCCTGACTCCCACCTGTGGCATTTCTCGCAACCTATTTTGTTTGACAATTTTTGACTATGAATATTATTTCATGTATTAGTGAGTACTTTTTCTCTTTGCTTATTATAGTCCCATTACATTTTTCTGTAAATGCATACCAAAGTATTAAGTGTTGCACAACTTAATCATCAATTAGCAAAGGTAGTACCATTGATGAAAAGCCATTTTCTGTCTTCTCGTTCATTACAGACAAATTTTACCTTGAATAATAAGGTTGTGGGAAGCAGACTATACCTAGAAATGTACCATTTTGGTTCTTATCTAATAAAATTCCACAAATTATAGCAAAAATATCAAAGTCAATGTTAAACCATCCATTTAATTAACTAAATCTCTTTTAAAGTCTTATTGCAATCATAGTATCATGAATAAATCTTTTCAGAAAGAGTATTGACACTGATTTATTTGATAAAATATATATCTATGATAGCTACCACACGTCATCCATTCTTGCTTCAACGTAACTTTACACAAACCCAATTTTTCAACATCAGAAATAAAATAATCGAGCGGATAATAAATAGAAAGTAATGTTGATGATAATCTCATAATCCGGATAACAAAACCACCTGCTCCCAAATCCATCATAAGTCATTCATATCTTATGTTTTCTTGAACTGCGTTTATTTATCAGAGTACATGGTTAAATATTAGGGGACAAGGCAACACAAGTACAAGGAAATAGGTGAAATGTACCCCCCAAAATTCCTCCGGTGCAACAGAATCCTCCAAGGAATGAAAAGGGATATTTATAACCACCGATAATACCATGAAAGTAACTTCATATCTCATATTCTCTCATTCGCATAAGTAAGAAAAACACATTTCGTCACTCTTATGCCTTGGAAATGCTTCCGTCGAGTGTACTTGAACGAAAATTCATGAAAAATATGGACTTACTCGTGACAGATACCGCGTGCAAGAGGTGAGTGCGGCTGAAAAGGTTCGTTCCACTGCGTCCCGCAATAACAACTATTGGTCCGTTCCTTTGTCCCAAAAGGGTTCAGGGGTTCCGCTGTTCATTTGTTTGCCCAGTTCTTGCATATAAAAAAATGTCGTTCTCTCTAGAAAAATATATGTAACTGATGTGTTTGATTACTGAATGTTTTTGTAATACAGATTAAAAACTTCATTTCGTTCTAATTGTTCCGCTGTTCATGCGACCCGCCAACTACGAAAATTCAAATGGTAGAAAAACCCTCAAGCCACAAACTATATATTTTCTCTCAGGAAACTGCCATTTGTAGCAACTTCTGCCTGATTTTCCCAGGTTTTCTTGTTTGTCACGCTCTTATTATCAACTTACCACTTACGACTATAAAGTGCCACTGGCGCGCAGTATTGTGGACTGCATTGGAACCATGGATTTTTTCATTATAGGTACTACAAATATTTTCTTATTTTTCATTCATACATATTACGTTGTTTTTCGTGTATAGCTGGGGTTACCAACCTAGGGGGCCATGAGATACTTGTTTGGGGGCCATGGCGCAATATGAACATTATGAATTCGAATTAAACTGGATTTTGTTTTACGACTAAGGTCTATATAAGTACTTATATATACTATATAAGTACTTCCAAGTCGAAATCACCAGAGATATAAAATACTGCATTAACTGCATTTTTGTTCTATACCATACGCTACTTAGTGATTTGTTTGACTGTAAAGCTCAATTTTCATGTTTTTTTAATGCACCGTAGTACCTGCAAATAATCATCTATCACTTATCATCACACTGGAATCTTTCCATATAGTGTTCTTGTCCTATAGCAATTGGCTCCACTACGCTATTCATAACTAGTAATAATTACACTGAACGGGGCTACAGAGATTATTGTATATTTGTCAAGGACCACATAATAGAAAAGGTTTGGAACTACAGGTGTAGGCAATGTTGCCGTAAGACTTGCAGCCTTGAGTTCACATACCCGTTTTCTGAAGAAAACAAAGAAAACTACGTTTTTTTTTTTTTTTTTGTAAACTTACGAAAAAATACAGCAACAGTGTAATTGCAAATAAATATCGATAAATTTGTAAATAACGCCTAACACCATTTTCAAGGTGATGAATCTATACTTCCCTTGGACCCAGCTTCTATTTAGTTATTTACTTACTGATAAAATAAGGTCACCAGCGGCATTTTTATGATATAGTGATAAATTATTGTGTGTTTCATATGAAAATGTAAAAATAAAATTGCCCACATTATGCAGCATGCGAACAATACTAACATTTTTGAAGGTTAAAAAATGCTTGGTGATTGCTGTGCATTGGGAACTATTTCTTTTGATTGGCTGAAATATAAGTGTTACACAAGTTTATGGTGATGTGATCTAAAAATGGGTAAACAAAGAAATAAAATCAAGTACTTATAGCATTTTATTTTAGATATTAACTATAAATTCCGAATTCTGAACAGGCGAACTTTTGGTTCGCAGAACTGCGAACTGTGGTCCGCAAGTTCCCGCGCTATTTTGGTTCGACCGCAGACGAAAATTGTACACATCGGCAACGCTGGTGTAGTCTACGAACATTGATAGGATATCATTGGCAATTAACAAGTAAATAGCGGCATATATTGAACTTATACTTAACTGCCATTTGTGCTTTGTTTTCGGTCTCAGTAGTTCCGGTATTGGTGTATTTTGTATAAAAAGAGACAATGAAAAGGTTGCATTCAAATTATCCTTGACTTCGAATAAAACCGAATTCACAATCAATATTTTTAGGTGTTAATAATTCAAAATCGATTGTATTCATTCATTCCCGATGTTTCCCATTCACCTGTAAAATGTCTAGTTATAAACCGTGAACACACTTCAGCGTGGTTATATGGAGAGCAATATACCACGGTTTATATCAACCAATCAGAATTTAGCCATGGAAGAGGGGCGTGGATTCTAGGCAGGTATCAAATGATGCAAGTAAACAGTACCACTAAAGCAGTGGTTCTTAACCATTTAACGAATCTGATAAAAGCAGTGGACCCCCTTCCCAGAAATATTCACATGAACACAACTTTGGATGCATTGTGTATAATGCACTTTATTGAACTTTGTTTGTCTCATGTATATGAGATACGTAAAGTATCCCATATACATATTATCAAACTTTAAAGTAAACAATCTAAAATAAAAACATGCGAACATAAATGTTTAGTTTTATCTGAACTTCATGGACCCCCAAAGTCCATGAACCTACCCCTGCACTAAAGGTATTAAAAAGCATCGCGGTACTGTCGATATTTCTCAATTGTGTCAACAAGTGATAGTATCCACAAGAAATGAAGAAAACAATTTAATCTGATATACAAAACACTGATACGACATTTTCCATGATCTGAGATTGTGGAGCAAAATATACCCAGAATATTCTTAAAATGAATAAGAGACGTAGTCAAGAATCTCCTAAATTTGATTACGTAGAGCCTGGTTGAACACTTACATGGCCTCGGTGCAATATGT